ATGCTAGTGACCAAACCACACCTCACCGGCAACGCAAGATGCACCCACGAACCGGGGCCATGGCTCGGGGGAGACAGGCTATCTGCCAGGGTCCCCGTAAAATCACCGCAGCCCTGGCCGGAGCCCCTGCGCCTCACCTGCTCGGCCGACTCCCCTGTGAGCAGGTTGACCTCCTCTGGTTTGGGCACCATGTAGGTGGTCAGAGGACTGACCAGGTGCACCTGCTTCCCGTCGTGCCAGGGCAGAACCCCCGCGTGATGGAGGAAGATGTAGGCGTACAGCGTCCCATTGTTCCTCGTCTTCTTCGGCACGGACACATTCACTGTCCTGTAAGACACAGCGCCCCTCTGAGCACGTCCGACCCTATGTCCCACACCGTGTCTACTCGAGAACCTTCATGGGTAATGCTTTCAAATCAGCCGACTAGCTCAGAACTACTGAACACGAAATCCGCCTGCCTGGGACGTGGGCGTGGAGCACACACGTCCCGAGCGGCTCTGGGAAATGTGGGCGCTGCAGCTGAGCTGGACCAGCCAGCACTTCTGATGTCCACTCTGCAAGGCTCAGAGTGGGCAGAGCTAAGTGCACATGTGGAATCTGGTCCCCGGGACTGGCCGAGACATGGTGACTTCTATAGCCCCAAAGGACATAACTTAAGGACCAGGCAGTGACACGGTGGCTAAAGGGGCTGGAAAGCACACAGCCAACTGTGTGTTTCACATCCCGGTCTGGCAGCTTAAAAAAGCACTGGGCACATATGTGCCTACCCAAAATCCACTGAGAGGAGAACACTGGGGAAAGGGGCACCGCGTAGTCACCCCACTGGGGGTGCTCTGTCACCCTGCTCACTCCCACCTCCTTCCGGGGAGCACGCGTGCTCTATGCAAGCTTAAAGGACAAAAAGAATACGACTCCCGAGTCTTGGAAGCCAAGGCCGGCCGCAGTCCCGTTGCAGCTCAGCCCTTGGCTACAAGTGCTTCCACTGAGACAGCTGCTCAGGACGGGGACTGCGGGAGAGTACCCTCCTGGACCTCGTCGCGTCTTTAAAGGGACACTGTGGGGTGCTAGTCTCGAAAGCCTGACTTCCAGGACCCCGGTCGGCGACTGTGCTGGGCTCTGGGGGGCCCGGTGAGGCTCAGCAGCCTGGGGCCTCTGTAGGCCTGGCTCCTGATGTACATCTCTGGCTCCGGCCGCACTGGATCCCAAAGGACACCACTTCCTGCACCTGCTCATCAGCACTCAGAGCTTCCTCCCACGTCGGATCCCGTGGCCGAGGTCCTGAGCGGCCTACTGCTGTGAGCAGCATCCAGACGAGCGTGTCTCGAGGCCATGTCTGCGGTGCCCCTGACAGTGGCAGAGCGCTGGCCCCGGCACCCGTGGTCCTAGCTGCGGTTCTGGTAAAAGACTCTAAGGCAGGGCCGGGGAGCTGAAGGAAGCTGTGTCTGCAGCACCTGCTCCTCTCCCTGCCCAAACCACCATCCTCCATGCCAGGCACAGCTCTGGCAGAGGCGAGCACCCCGTCCGCACACGCACTCCCACTACAGGTGTGTCCCGGGCACACCAGAAAGTGGGGGACAGCCATGGCACCAGGCGAGCTGGCATTTCTGCCTCCGTCTTACTCGGCTCATAGAGGGTGAGGGCTTGCCCGGGGCCCCAGGGCCACTGTGGCCAGGAGGCAAGTGACCTTAAGGCCTATACAGCGCATACACCCATAGGCCGTGGCTGGGACACGTGTCCCACCCAGTCACACGTTGCAGCCCGTGACTCTGGTGCCTCCAGACAATGCAGAGAAAAGGCAGCGACTTGGCCTGCAGGTGGGCCTCCAGATGCTTGCTCTGCCATCTGCTGTCCAGGATAGGAAACCCAGGCCCTCCCAAGGACGCTGCCCGCTCTGCTGACAGCGCCCAACTCCCTGCAAGGTCTCCCCACTCCTGGCCCTCTTCCCGCAGGAGGAGACTCTGTAAGTGTCTCCCACCGAGGAAAGGCAGTCTGTCCGCGCTGCCCCCCACACACCCGTGCTCTCTGCCATGGCACGGAACACACCAGATGCAAGTGCGAGCTCCTCCCTGACCCCACGGGCCAGCCACCTACTGCTTCAAGCCTTGATGCTCCATGCCCCACGCAGGTCCCCAGCTAAAACGAATTCTGCCTCCCATGAAGCTGGCCAGACCACAGCTCTGACGTGGCAGCCACATGCAAAACGCCAGCAGAGACCCCGGGCGTCAGGGCGACCCTCATCGCACCCCAACCGCGCCTCACCTTTCAAACTTGGTCTCCACGTCGAAGTCCTCCACGTTTAGGACCAGGTCGATGTTGTTCTCAGCACCCAGGTTAGAGCGTGTGGTGGTGTAGACGCTCAGCTGGAAGTGAATGAAACTGGTCAGCTGGCACCAGGAGGAAAGTGTCTCCGCGCCCACGCAGGCCTAGGGCCGGGGAAGCCCCGGGGGCCAGCAGGCAGTGGGGTCAGGGCAAGGCCGGCCAGGGAGGTGGGCAGGGCTGGGGGGACGCGGGAGCGGGCGCGGGCGGCGCGCACCTGCAGCTTGGGCCGGCGCGCCAGGTAGGGCAGGATGCAGTTGTCGGGGCCGGCGCAGGGCCGCGTGTACACGATGCCGTACATGACCCAGCAGGTGTGCACCACGTACACCT